AAACCCGACATACGTTCGAACCGACTTTGAAATCTGCTGATCCTTAAGCATCTTCTGCGTGGTTTTTTCTAAAAACTTCGATTTCTGAATACATTCTAATCAAAACTATCACCTTTTTTTTCTTTTGGGTATAGTTTCTTCAACAGTTCTTAATTCAATAGAGCTTTTTTGACTAAAAGACGACTTATTTTAGAGATATTGCGCACTGCCTTTGACAATTATTTTGCACGAGGAATAACAATATTTAAACACCAGCGTAATGATGTCATAAACAAATTGGTTCATACGTCGTCATACTGAGCATTCATCGAGATGTGAAGCACTTGGGAAGTTTGGAGGGCACTCAAGAAGCTACAGTTCCTCTCGGCTGCTCCTCAAGCATTTTTTCGAGCATCTTTCGTGCTCTCCAAGCTTCCCACGCGCTTCATATCTCGATGAACACCCGCTGGCGTATGAACCAAACGTTATTAAAGACATGGTTAACATTTACCGGTGTTTATTTTTTTTACCTTGTAAAATTTTTCCGTTTTTGGACAATGGCTTGAGTGCCAAATTCATCGCAGACTTCAGCAAAAACTAATTGAAACTTATAAATTTAGCTGGTCCTTTCTCAGGAAAATGGTGGTATGATCACTTTGCTATTATTAAAGTTAGGAGACAGCCAATCGATTGGAAAGAAAATAAAGAAAATCTTCATTTAACCATAGAAGCGGAATATGATGTTTCCAAACACCAAAGTAGGTCGTGAAATCGGGGTTAATATCCAACACTACAGCCCTAGAAATCAGATCGGATAAGTAATACATAGACACGCAAATGCTTTAACACTGCGGAATAGCTTCTTACAACATCAGCCTAAATCTGACTGTTTCCTACGTGTTTTGGCGTCATTTTAGTTCCTTTTTTAATAATTTAAGGCTTAAGAAATAAGTTTGCCCAATTGTATGTTCCTGTATGTTTTGGCATCATATTACTTCCTTTTTAAACAATTCAGATTCATTCATAGAATTTTAAGGCTTAAGAAATCAGTTTTGCATGACTGTTTCGCCAAGTTGGTATCGTTTCAATTCCTTTTTCAATAATTCAGATTCATTTTATTCTTCAAAACTTTTCTTTCAGTACATTCGAGTAGTCTAATTTTTTTCAGGAGTCATAAATCGCTCGGAAAACTTATTTTTGAGGAATTCTTGCTTAATAAGATAAAACATTTTGAAACTGGACACACTAAAGAGACTATGATTAAAAGTCCTATGAAACATTGTGGTGGAAAGAAATGATTTCAGCTTACGTTCTAAATTCATAGGTTCGCGATAGTCATAGGTTCGTGGAAAGAAAAAACACGTCATTGTGAAGTTGACAAAATTCACTACCTTTCTATAGACTATACTTCAATGAACAGCCACGATGAGACTATGTCGAATGTGTTCGAAGTGATACCGACCAAGGAGGTTAGTTTCAAAATATTTTCATCTGTGGCAAATTTTATCCACGATAGTAATAGGTTCTCTTCACTGAGCGCTTGATCGAAAAAACTTCCGTAACCCTCGTTGACCAATTATATGGAAAAATTTAAGATGGCATTTTTCGGTAGTTTTAAAACGGCGTCAGTTCGTGATTGCAAAAGCCTTTTTGTTTACTACTTGAATAACGCTGTTTTAGGCTCTCTGAGCGTTACGCGTAAACGGTATTTGCATTCTTCCACTCATTTCATGGTACAAAGAAATCTTTTTTATCATGATTAAGTATTCTCAGTGGTAAAAAAGATGAAAAATGGAAGAACGAAAAAGATTCCTACCTCACTCACAAAGAGAAGCCTTGATGATTCCTTGAAAATCTGCCGGATGACAATGGAGCCGATAATATTTAATAGTTCTTAGTGACTAGACAATATCGCGCCTGAATAACACATTAAATCAATTATCCTAGGACCTGTAAAGGTTCTGTTCGTCGACCAATCATATGGAAAAGTTTAAAATAGCATTCTTCGGTAGTTTTAAAGCAGCGTCAGTGCTTAATTGCAAAAGCTAAATAACATTTTAAATCAATTATCTTAGGACCTGTAAGGCTCCACTCAAGCAAATCCAACAGAAAACCGTAATGAAGGCTTAAGTGTGTGGGGATTGGATGGGAAGTTGTCGTAAGCCGGTCCGGGAAAACCTTTAAATCCCCGCACTCGCACGAGTCTTTAGGATTTTCCAACAACAGAAGTTCTGTTATTGAAGTTTAATTAAAGAAGAAATAGGTATGAAGAAATGAGTCATGTCTTTCTTTAAACTGTGAATTCCTTGTCCTGACTCAAAATTAGATAGGGAAATATTTTAATCGTACAATCTCTTTGTTTGTAGTCCAGCGCGTTCCCCTCTTGTGTATATTATAGCGGCGTCCTCCTTAGGTTCAAACATAACTCAGTGATCATATGTTAAAATAGTTATTGATTGAGTTTCGGCAATACCGACAGAAAACTCTTTGGCTCGTGGTCATTACGTACGGACCTCATGCCCAATATTTACCCGTCCGGCCCACCCTCTTAGATAACAAGTTCGTAGTTTGTTTTTAATAAATTATACCAAGAACAGGAAGTTGACATCTAAAGGTTCTCGCAAATTTTGGCGCCTTTATCAGTAAATTACATTATTTTATATTAATTAAGGAGAAGTTTGAGGTAAGTTTGCATGACTTTCACTTTTCCAATTAACTTTTCATTCGAGTAAAACTACATAAAGAACCCGAAGCTCGTTTCTGTGATTCAGTTAAAACTGTAAATTAATGAGTTATCAGCTATCAAGCTGTTTGGATACCGGTGATAAACTGGCAAGTCGTCAACAAGTTTGTGAACATTGGCTGTTCAATAAATAAAACATACTGGAGAAGCAATAAGAAGGAAGGTGCATTAAACGTCAACATATCCGAGGATTATTCTCTATCACTTCAACCCTAGAAATATAGAAATATCTGAAATTTTCAGCTCTTTTTTCTCATTTCTCTCTCTTATTTTCAACTTAAAGACGCTTTTCAGGAAGGACAAATTCAAAAAGTAATAAAATTTAGGAAAGAGGAAAATGCTTTACCCTTATAGATATTTTGGACTCATCACTGTCGAGCTTGTACTGGCAGCTCATGTGGAAGAATTTTGTGGCGCGTCCGTGATGCGCCCTGTGAAGGAAAGATGTCTACGTTTCGGCATGACTTAAAAATGTTGTTACGATCACTACCTCTACTGACGATGAATTATTATTGGAGTTCTTTGTTCGCTCTGATTACATCTCTTGATAGGAGATTTATTTAAATTCAATTCTAAAAAATTAACGACGCTGAATGCTCTATTTACATTTCTAGACAGGGGATGTCTTTTATTCAAAGTAGCTAAATCTTACGTTAAATCTTTCTGCCAATGCTAAACTTTGTTATGGATAACGTGCATTCCTTACACTTCATTTGTTTTATACTCCATTCACACCAAAACTTAAACATATTTTAAAGCCGTTTTGTTAAACACAGTTTAATTTCAAATTTTTTCTTCATAGAAGCTGCTTGAACCATTGTTTGTTATCTTCAGATGTAGCCTATTGAAAATACAAGTCAGAAATTACTTGAATCGTTTGGAAAATTCAGTTTATCAGTTCTCTGTTTCCGATTTTCATTCAGTTAAACACGGTTTAACTATATATGTTTTTCTGGTGTGACTGGGGTACCAGAGGCGCCAGTGCTCGACTATAACTTTTTAACTAATTAGCCATTATATTACAAGTTGGCGGCCTATCCGTAAACTACTGGGTCCCACCAGTGTCCTGTCCTTTTGAGTTCACAGACTAAACGCAGATGAAGTTATCGATCGCAAAATGCGAATTAAGTTTCTTTTGTTAATATCCTCTGTCACGATCAACTAAAACTGATTTTTTCTTTATTTGTCTCTCCAAAACCTGTTCTACCTCGACTAGCCCAGTGATTAGCTGTTCTGAAATTTTACGAACCCAGACCCATTTTTTACTAGCCCAGGCTTGTTTCTGAGATTCAATAAGTTGTACGTTTTTCAACACAAATTTAGTCATAAAAGTCACAATTTCCTCGATTTGATTGGTTTAAAAAACTCACGTTTTCCACTCATTCACTCGCCAAGTTCTTATCGGACAGTTCAATAAGCCAATCACATTCAAAATTGTAGTTTTAATCAACCAATCACGTTTAAAGTTGTAGATGCAGATGAGTCTTTACCTTACTCACATTTACCTGAACCTGGTATTCTGGAAATGTGGAGATATGGAAATCTGGAAACATGCAAATGATATTTCCACATTTCACATTTCAACATTTCTAGACTACCAAGTTAAGATACGTGCGAGTAAGCTAATCACACATCACACATTTTCACGTTTCAAGGTTTCTCTGAGGTAATAAATTTTTTATGTGCAGCACATTCCATTGTGATGACGTTTCTATGCTCTTCTACTCCGAGTAAAATCGCAAGGGGTTTTCCGTGATCGAGGATCTCATCGGGGTAAATCGTTAGCCGTGAAACTGCAGAAAAAAAAAACAGCAGTTGGGCGTAAAAATTGACAAATTTTACCCGTTAGCTGTAAAAGGACCAAAATTCTAACCGTTTACCGTAAAAGCCATCACCACACCCTCCTAATCGGAAATAGACCTTACCAGCTCCTAAACCGACGACTGACAGACCTTCAAAGTCGGAAGTAGTCCGAGATATTGCTTACTTGAAGTGAATCTGACATTTCGAATCAAGAGGTCGTTTATGACACGAACAGAACTCTACACAATCACGTGGGGTTGGAAGAGTATGACCCCCCAATTAGAAAAAAACTGCACTCGTATTCCAACATGAGGAAACCAGACATAACTGATTGTAACCACTTGCGAGGATTGCAGTGGCGGATCTTAGGGAGGGGCCGGGGGGCCCGCCCACTTATTTTGGGTAAAAAAACAAACCACACTTGCTCAGAATTCAGGCATTTTAATGTAAAAAAATACAGACCACTTCTAAGTCTGTCCTATTTACATCGTGAAACCCATAAAATTGAAATTATGATAAAAAAAAAAGGTGTAGTGGTCTAAAAAATGAAGATTAGACAGATCTGTGCACTGTCCATGGCATACAACATGGTTCACTTAAAAACTAAAGGAAATTTCATCTAAAATTAATCGCAGCATTAATTGCAAAGCCACTGCGGCGATTAAACTGCTTGCTGGTTATTTAATTTGTCTGCATTATTTAAACACTACTTATAACTTTATGAAAGGTTCCCTAAATGAAAACATGTAATTTCGGAAACATCGTGGAGAACGCTGCTAGCATTAACTGAGACCACACATTTCTACCAAAATGAATACTTAATCTGATGTAAAATATGAAAAGGCCCTCAGAATCGGGACATGATTTTAGCTCGGAAAATATACTTCCCCTCAGAGGTTTCTTCTCAAATACATCAAAAGTGGCTTATGCTGCAGTCTAAAGCACTTAGTACACAAGTTCTAAAATCTTGAAAAACATAAAAAACAGCAAGGAGTCTCATAATGAAACCTGGAAAATTCGTCACTTCTATCTAGCGTTTGTATCTCTTGCACTAAACTTCACCTGGAGGCTTCCTTCCAACTACAACAAAGCCATAATTTCTAGAGACCTCGTTTTGTTACATTAGAGTAGGTTTTTGCAAGCCTTGCTGTCATTTTGCTTCATATAGAGTAAACCATCCAAGTTTTCATAATTCAAAATGACAAAAATGGCTAATCTGGGATATAATGCACCCTTTGCAGTGCTTGAGCTGTTGTACTGCATGCATTTTGGTTACTTTTGCAGGCTACCACCCTTGTAATTAAAAAAAATATATAATTTTCTATTCACCAGAAAAAGACAGCCATGTGATATGTTCATGAAACATTAACTCTCATAACTATTTCACATGATGTCATTTCTTAATGGCTGGATTAAAAAGTAACTTTACAAAGCCTTAACCCTTTAACTCCCAAGATCTTATTAGCAATTCTCCTTACTGTCTGCCATACAGTTCTTGTGATGTTACCTTGGAGAATTTGGTATTAGATCAACTTGTAGTCCCCTAATTGATATTTCTCTTTATTCTCATCACTTGTCTGCTTGAAATTGTATGGATGATGTAGGGAGAAATTCTGTCTTGGTCACTCATGGGAGTTGAAGGGTTAAATTAATACAATGGACTAAATAACATGAATCAATTTTCCCAATTTTAACAGAAAAAATTCTCCTTACTGTCTGCCATACAGTTCTTGAGTTAAAATTGGATCAACTGATAATCTTCATTGATTTTTCTTTACTCTTGTCATTTGTCTGCTTGATATTGCATTGAAAGTAAGGAGAACCCTTGGTCAAAATGAAATTAAAAATTTTCTTTCAGAAAAAGTTAATCACTGGAGAAAAAAAGACTTCAATTCTCCTAATCTCATGAAAGAAGAACCCAAAATGACATCAAAAAGAGATTTGGGTACGAGCCAAAAACTTCTTGATGAGATTTTTGACCAACAAATCTCACCTTAAGTCTTAAGACACCAAGACATGAATGAAGGTAAAAATATGTATATTAACTGCTTTCATTTCCTTGGCCATCACTTTCAGTTCTACGCAGGCTTAAAAATTTTAAAGCAAGCCATACAACAACCAGATTGGTCAATATACAGTGTATAGAGGTATTTACATGTACGTGTCTTGAATAATTTTACAAATTGATTCTGAACTGTTGATTATAAATGACATTCCATTGACTTATTATTCATTTTTGGTGAAATTTTACTATGAAGATTGCATAGCACTAAAAATAACACTTTGATGCACTTTCACTGATAGCTCGGCACCCAGCTACATTGAAAGGTATGTTTGTTGCAGTTTGAATAATTTCAGGTTAAAATGACTTCACAAGAGTTTGACTCCTATTTCACTTTGTTTAATGAACATCAATAGTAATTTACCTAGAACATTAAATTTTTGGGAAAAAAAACTATTCAAACCAGCTTAAATCATTTTGACTTGAAATTCACTTTCCACTACAACCTCAGTGCATCTTTTCACTACTAACAACCATCACTGCTAATATGGCCACCTTCTAATTAAGACAGACTTTTTAGGTCCTAAAATAGGAAGGTACTCCAGTCAATCCCACACTTAACAAACCTGTATTTGATTGATGACCACATTTTGGACATCCAACAGTAGCCATCATAAGAAGGTACAACTGTGAAAAACCAATTGCTTTGCCATAGCAAACCAAAGTCTGTAAGACTTGTTTCCAAGACTTGAGGGGGGACAAGTTACATTGTGAAAAAATCATAGAGACCAACATTCTGATGAGAAGTTTGCCTTGCTGGGAGAGAAATCCTTGTATTTCCCGTTTAGCTTTTCTTGGCTAGCAAACACTATGTCTGAAACTTTTCATCATGTCAGCAAGAGATGTAGAGTTTGCTGTGCTACGAATGAAAGAATGATTAAGAAGTTCAAAGGCGGAAGCTCTTTTCACTGGATCACGCTCCAAAGTCCTTTCCAAAAATGACAGCATTCTTGGAGACATCTGCAAAACAAGAGAGATAGATGCAAAATACTTAGCCATGCATCTGTTATGGTAATCAAGATCTAACAAGAACCTATCAGAACAAGTGTAGTATTCAGCTTGTCATATGTTGATTGAATGTTTACAGTAACTGTGGCCTCAACTCTTCAATTATTGACAGTTAATACATCTTTTAGTAACACGGGCACTATCATTTTTTTTAAAAATCTATTATCAGATTTTCTAGTTATAGCCCACTCACCTCATTACTCATATTTGAGATTGGTGGATCCAAGTCTCGTAATTTCCTCATGGCCTGTAATGGCGGCTCACTAAAATAAGGAGGTTCTCCTTCAATCATCTCAAGAACCATAATCCCAAGAGACCAAATATCAGCCTTGTGGAAGGAAAAACAACAAAATCAAGGAAGTTTTAATATCCAAAATAAAACCAGAAATATAAAAAGAAAACTATATCTTCATTACATTTCTACTTGAGGAAATAATTTAAAGATCTTAAGGAAACCATGACTTGAACAAAGGTTTATGCTACATAAAAATATAATTTTTTTTCCAATTGCAAGGTTGTGATTTTTGTTCATTACATGTATGTTAGGTGAAATTTAACTTTACAATAATAAATTAACTGAACTGTTATTGTCACAGTAGTAATGAAGGTTATAAAATCTGAAAAATAAAAAATGAATTGTGAGAGTTTTGGCTATTTTCTTACCTCTGTGCCATATGGTTTTCTTGATATCACCTCTGGTGCCATCCAGTATGGAGTGCCAACAAGAGACTTTCTTCTAGGCATATCATCAGTGACTTGTGCACAAAAACCAAAGTCAGAGAGCTTTACCTATAAAATAAATATTAAAAAAAAAAAAGAATAAAAAATTGCCATGTTGGACTTCATTTAAAATAATACAATGCAATGAGTCTGCTAGACTTCAAATTATCTTCAGTTGGTAATGATCTCTGGTATTCCAGTTGTAATTAACAATATCTTGAGATATGGAGCAGTTTGTTTGAACAAAAATTCACTGATTTGTTTCCCTGGGTGTTTTGTTCTTATATAAAATTTTACTTATTAATAACCCACATTAAAAAAAATAAAGCCAAACTATTTTGCCGTTTACCCCTTAACGCAAAGAAGTGATAAACATGTAACTTCTCCCTATAATATCCATACATTGTCCAGCAAACATGTGATGAAATACTCATACTAATCAGTTAAAAGTTCTTATTTTGATCAAACACCAAATTCTCTTACTGGCTTACAAAGAAATGTGTAGCAGTTATAGGGAAGAAGTAACAACCAGATCTTAAGAGTTAGAGGGTTGACAAATTACTATCAGTGTCTGGCTGTAATTTGATGTGTTTGATTTTCATGAAAAGAAGAAAATTGGTAAACCAAAACATACTGAAAAAACTCTTGGATAGAGTGGATAAAAATTGGATAAAATTGTGTCTTAATAGACTCAAGTATTCCTGACATACCTGCCCACTTGTGGTGAGCAAAATGCTGTCACTCTTGATATCTCGGTGGATGACTCCCTGAGGATGCAGGAAAGCCAGAGCTTTTAACACAGAACGGCACACACAAGATACCTGTTCCTCTGACAGACTGAGGAAAAAAATTAAATAAACATCCTTGTTATTAAAGTTATTTTGATAATTTTCATGTATATACAGTTGTGCAGTAACATTGCTATAGCCAACATTAAAGCTTTCAGCAGATGACTGGATTATGCAACTGACATTTACATGCTAGTGTATTCCTGTTTAAATCAATGACAAAATTATTGACACATTTCCACTGAAATCCCAATATTCTGGAATTTAGTATACCAATTCTATCCACAATACCCTGCATTTTGTTTACTCTGACTGTACAATAATGATTGGGGATGGGAGGCATTGTCACAAACCACAATTCATTTTGAAATTTCTAAATAATTCCTAAAAAGTGACTAAATGGATGTTATATGTGTCAACTAATTTTATCCCAGCTTGTTACATACATGTAAAAGTATACTCCTTTTAGCAGAAGCCAAGCAAGTTTGAAAACACAATGTATCTCTAAATACTAACTGAGTTCAAGGGCTATAATGTTATGGACCACATGTTTTTTATTCAGATTTAGGGCCATAGCAATTGAAGCTTGTACACTACATTGTTTTTTCTGTATTTTACTGGTTTTGAATCAAGCTTCAAAACTTCATAATAAATTGAGTTCCTATCTCTAGAAATGGAAAAGCCAGAGAGGAGTTTATATCCAGGGGGAGGGGGAGTGGGCTTTTGATAAAATTTTCTTTTAGCTGATAACAAGTAGATGGACCTATAGCCAGGAGGGTGAGGGGTTGGTTTTATAAATGGAAGGGCGAATTAACAACTGGTTATGGTAGGTCATTGATTTATTAAAATCTTCCTTGCCCATGCAGCAAACTTACAATCCTTGTACAAGCATAGCTTTCAGCAATTACTTAATTATCAAAATATACTTCTCCTCACTTTGTATGAGTGATGATATCTGTTAATGATCCTCCCTCGAGAAATTCCATCACCACCCACAGCTCATCTGCCACAAGGTAACTTCCATACATTTCTACAATGTTAGGATGGGGATAATCCCTCATGATCACGACCTAAAAACCAGCATACAAAACATATCTTAGATTGGAATAAACTCAGCATAAACATTGTCTTTTATTGGTAGCCAAGATTTACAATCCTGGACTGGGAAGTGCAAAGCTGGGTTAAGATAACCCAGGATAAGTTTGAAATCTGATTTCAGATCTGAGAACTTCAAAAGAAAATTTAGTCAAATTCTTTGTCTTTTTGTCGACAATATGATTATTGGATGCTCTACTAAGAATACAGAAAATTAACATTCTAACCCATTAGCTAAGCTTGGCCACATTATATAAAATTTAGGCCTGTACTTTCTTACTGAAATAAATTGAATTTGAGTTTTCTAACACAAACAAAAACCCTGACATAGGCCAATGAAGAAAAACCCATAAGGGATGTTCACATAACAGTGCTTCCTTAGTACATTAGTCTACAGAGTATTGAGGCCTGAATCACCAGGGGAAATTTATCATCATACTCCAATTGCAAACAAAAAGAAAACAATTCAGAACAAATAAAAATTAGCTTATAATAAAATAAAGAATATGTTATTAGGCCTGTTGAGTGAGAAATAAAGATTTACAGTAATGATTAACAAGAATCTCCTTGAAAATTTTCTAGAAACACCGGTAAGAAGAATGTTGAACTCAACAATCCTTTCAGTAGACTGTTAGCATGAGCTCCAGTGTTGTGGAATACATGATACATTAAACACATAAAACTAAATAGAATTCACAGCCATGTTTTTGTATACTCAAAGGCAGTCACCTAAATACTGCATTTTTTTCTTTCACTGATAACAAAAGTATATATTTTATTTGCATTGTCAAATCCAATCTTATTAATCCGTTTCCATCGATAAACAATAGGCAAACATTCAAGTAACGGTGTGAACATGAAGCAAAAATTACCTCTGAATTAAAAAAGGAATTTGCGATGCATTTACCAAGTTGTGAGTGAAAATTGTGATAAATACTTCGCAAGAAGACAGAACACGTTTTAAGTAATTGTCTAACATTGAAAATAACCTTTTGGCAAACACTACTGTAATGAATATCCAATTAGGAAGATAACCGTTCATTGATGTGGTTAGTTACCAAAATATTTCAGCACACACTTAGAACACTATTAAACTAACTGAATTCTTGTGAACCCAGGGGAACGTATCGTAAACCACAAAATCGTTAAGCTGTACCCTCACGCGTAAAAATAATTCATCAGTGGAAGATCGTTCAATATTTATCACGCAATAATAACATGCAACACTCGAACGATCAGAGATAATAACCTAAGAATTATCATATGTCAATTTACAAAGAAACTTCTCTATTTCGACCTCACATCTTAGTTTATAAAAGCAATAAATTTTCGCCAATAACAATAGCCCCTTATGATGTATAACCACTGTAAAAAAACTAACTCTGTTAGCTGTTATATACAGTGTAATCCGTGACCACACTTCAGACGACGACATTTGATACAAAACGGACATCGCTTAGAAACTAATCGAATTCCGCATATCGCATTTTTGAGACAGCAATCGAATTTATTTAGAACCGATAGCAATGTGAAATTCCCTAAAAAAATAAAGCTGGATCATTCGCTGTTAAGCTTACGTACCTCATTAAATAGGAGTTCTCTTCGTTGTTGTTTTTTCAAATCCATTTTCTTCACTGCAACTTGGCGTTTTGTTTTGTTATCTCGAGCAAGACAGACAACCCCGGTCGAGCCCTCGCCGATTTTAATAAAATTGTCCAGATACTCCGGAGGACCAGTTGAAGTTACAACTACTTCTAGCGCTTTTCGAAACTGCTCATGACTGACTGGGGAATCAGAATACATGAGTCTTGTTTTGGAAGAGCTTCGGAGGTCTTCGCCATTGTTTTCTCCAGAGTCTGTGCTCGCCGAGCCATAATCAGAACTTGCTGAAGTCTCTCTTTCTATAGCAGGGATCTTTTGCTGTCGATTGATTTCCCTGCCATTGTGCGAGCGTTCGTAGCCTTGAGAAAATCGACGGTTGTTTTCTTCGGGATGTTCTCGAATATATTCCGCCCGTGGAACTTTCCCGTTAAACGCGCGCGTGGAATTCACGTCTTCGGAAAGTTCTGTACTCGTTCTCTCTCGCCGTCTGGCCGAAGGCCTTGAGCCTTGATTGACTCGGAATGAATTGCGAAGTGAATTTGAGCGAGAAACAGAAATAACTTTCGAGGCAGAACCCTTTGCCTCAGAGTTCAGTAGACTCCACTGGGATTTTCTCAGTGGCGAAACTTGAGTGATTATTTCTGGATCGACAATCGGTTTAGGTCTGTTTTGTGATTCCCTCTGTATTCCAAGCAGTGCTTCCCACTGTGGCGGTAGACCGATAAATTTGCCCGTACTGTTATCATATCCAGTGTGAAATCGATGTTCAAAGTTCTGAGGTTCAGAAATCTCAACCCGCTTACGTTTCTTAAACAAACGCTTGAACATCTTGGCAGGGAGCAATTAAAGCCAGCCGTGGAAAGGTGCACCAGGTTGAATCACGATTTCGCCTTCTTGAACTGGTTGGAAAAGAACTATAAGATCAATAAGAATTTACATCCAGGAAGAAATTCGACCTCACAACCCATTACAGCCATGGAATACCTTCCCATGTCCGTTACACTCGGAATCGGAAAATTCGGAAACCGAATATTCGACGGAGTTTAACGATCAATATTTGAGCACGCAGTAGTCCTGTCCAGAAGTATTTTGTAAAATGCAAGCAACCATGCGACCTCGTCGCGTTGAACGAATAGATAGTCGTTGTGGAGAGCACTGAAACCTTCTTTTGATGGAATCTAACATGGAAATTGGCAACGAGATAAGTCAAAAGATTAGGGTGAGTAGCTTCGATAGTAGTGGATTTATTCGGTAGCTGTTAAACTCTCAATAGACGAGGTTTTAGGGTTGGATTGTTTGCCGTTTAAATTCATTAACTACATGCACCCAGTAAGCCGCCATATTTGTTTTTACCTGTCAGCTGAAAAATGCATCACATAACATCCGTCTCAGCCGTTAAATTGTATCTTTGAAGATCAAGTAAGGCACATATCATCAGCGTTCTAGATAAGAGACAGTCAATGATATCTCCATAAAGTTTTCAGCTCAAAGTTTTTTTTTTATCTTAAGGAAGTGTTATGGAATTTGTTTATTGATGATACTCTATTCATAACTTTTAAGTTAGGAGAGCAACTACACAAAATAGGGCCAGTTTTGAAGGAAGAAACATGCATATCGTTCGATTCTTTTGGCTCGGTAGGGGATGAAGGAACGAGGAATAGTTTATATGCTTGTTAGGGCTTAAGTCTTAAGTCTCGTTTGGCTTGGCAGCAGCCTAACAAGCGGACTTATTTTATAGAAGGTTAAAAGTGGCCCTAAATTATGTAGTTTAACCAAAAAATGATGAAATACTTGACTGTTAAGGGTTTTATGATTACAAACTTTTCAGAGTGCTGTCAAAACAAAATTACGAGAACTGGGATCTTATGTTGGTAAGTTATACAAATATATTATTTTGAGTGGTATTAACCTTTTAACTCACAGATCAAATTTGTCACTCTCCTTACTGTCAAATGTACAATTCTTATCATGTTGGTTCAGAGAATTTAGTATTGGATCAACTTATTCCCAAATTGATATTTTTCTTTATTCTCATCACCTATCTGGTTGATATTGTATTGATATTGTAATGAGAAATTCTGTCTTGGTCACTCATGGGAGTTAAAAAGTTAAAAGAAGAGAACTAAATATTAGTTGGTGTGGTTCTGTATCTGCTTTTTGGTGATTCATTGGTGTAAATTTTACTGAAAGTCATGCAACAATGATTTAAAATATTTAAAACTTCATTTGAAGACGAGGAATTGCCAGATTATATTATGGTTATGCTGGCTAACAAGAGGAGTAAAGAACAGATGACAGAGGACCTGGTGTTATTTCTCGGTGCAAATACAAAAGTCTTCACTGAATGGTTAGTAAAAAGATGGAAATTGTACATTATATGATGACTGAAAACTGCTATACACATAAAAAGTTTTCTAAACTGAGTGTAGGGTCTTTTTAAAAATTGCATTCAATTTGGTAAAACTAGCATAAAGTACATGGAGATTCAAAGCTGTGCTCCAAGTTTAATTGAAGAGAGCTCAGTGGTCTGAGATTGAGAAATCCAGGCTGTGCCGCATACACTTTTTATAAAATAACCAAGATTCCTTAATTGTCCAAGTACAAAAGTAAGGGGCCAGTGGGCAGCGCTAGAGCACAACCCTGTGATTACTGTACATAGTCTCCAATTTTAAAAACATGCATGTATATTTGATAGTTTTAAAATAATTTCAGGTTGGAATACATTAAGAATAATTTGATTCATGTTTGCTTGTGTTTAAGGAATATGGCAATGCACCTGAATCAATTTGAATACACGTCTGTCTAATTTAAAACCATATTGATCTGAAATTATTGCTTTTGCTATTGGTAGGCTGGATTTAAAAGAAAAATGTAAAATATGGCATGCTGACAATAAATATATTGCATAATTATTGTCAAGAAAAACAAGACATCAGATTATTTTGAGATAGTAATTTCAATGGTGGTGAGATCTGCAGATATAAATTTATGTTTAGTGTTTTTTTTTTTTTTTTTTTTTAACTGTTAGGTTTTCTTATTTTATTTCAGTTGTTTTAAAGCGCATTAGATGATATCCATATGTATATTGTATATTGTGCTGTATAAGTGTTAAAATTATTATTATTATAATTATCAATTAAATCATCATGAAAGTGGAACTGCAGGGTGTAATTGTGCTTCTTCATTGTATGAGTTTATTTACTAGTTCGTAAGTACTTTATTTTTTTGTCGGCAGGCTTGTGAACATAATACAAAAAATTCAAGATGTAACAAGTTTACAAGGTAATGCTACATGTAAATAGTGAAGCCTAACTGAACCCTTGATTTAGAAACTCTTTTACAGCTCAGAACTGTGGATAGAAAATTAATCCTAGGCTTATTAGACTGGGAAAAATGCTCCACTGATCCTTTCAATTTTTCTATTATTACTTATTTTTGCCAGAAAATACAGAAGAGTTAAATTTATTGGCAAGTGAACCTATTAAATCAGTAAAGACAGAATCTGTCAGGAGCAGAGAAAAAAAAGATGCTAACTCGAAGACTTCAACTAAAGAAAGATGCCGAAGCCCTCACAGAACAGACGCAAGAGAGGAGCATCAAAGACACTCTTCAAAGTCTTCTGAAAAGATAGAAAGTTTGTACCATCATGATACTTTACTGTGAAGGACAAAAAAAATGTAGTTGAGGGTTGGAAATCCAAGAATTAATCAATTAATAGATACATCTTTTTGTACCTATTAGTGATAATGATAATTCAAGCCTGGTAGAGCTACTTAGTAACTTAGCCCCTGAATATACTTATAACACAAGGGCAACGATTATACCATGTACCACTGTTCTCTACAATAACAAGCCTACCCACTGTACCCCCATCTGTAAACCTTAGAATCCAAAATTCTTGAAATTTCTTTCCTTTGTTTTTTGAGAATGTTAATTGTAGTGATTTCTTTTTCCTTGGAATGCACTAGTACTTTGGCCATAACAAAAACAAAGAGAAGAATGAAACATTTTAGCTAGTGATGAATATGCATTGAACTTTTAAAAACATTTTATAACCCACTCATTAATTTTCCTGCAATTCTATTGGATACTTTACATTACATGGTGGAAAATCACCAGAGAGTTATTACACCATAACCTCTTGCTAGATTGATATTTGTCCTCTGATTATTTTAGAAAAAGCAAAGCCAGTGGAAAAAAACCAGCTTAAGCAATTCACTTTTTCATCTTTATGACTTTATGTGGAAGAGAAACAAACTTCTTTTGTGGATTCTAGTCGTGGAGATGTTAAAAAAATGATATCAAATGCTGCACTGGAAAGGAAAAAAAGGCAACAAAATTTGCTGTCATTGCACAATGCAAAAATTAATGGGAGAGTTCAAAGTATAAAAACCCTCTTCTGGCCTGCTGGTATGTCAGCTGATAATGTCCTCACTTGAGAGATTGTCCTTAAAATTTCACATTTTACCCTGGAAGTTTTGCATCTCCTCCAAACATTCAATTCTTGAACAATATCTAAGTGGCTGTTGTTATCAGTGGACATAGCTGTTGCTAAAGGGGTTTATGACTGCTTATGACTGAACAAGGATTTCGGAGTAACTTTTTTATTTGCCTCAGTCTTTGGAAGCTTCCCAAAACCAGTCAGACACACAGCAGACAAGTGATGAAATCATGCTAGGCTCATATTCCTTATCTGTATCTTTGCTCTTTTACCTTGAATTTAAGTTCAAAACATGAAGTCCCAGGACAAACTTACAGTGTATAATTTAGTATAATTATTACAATCATAACTATGCACTTTTAACTATTGCAAATTTTGAAACAAAAATTTAACTTTCTTAGTTTACAGGCCTACAACAAGTAAAAAAGCTAAATATGCACCTGGTTTCTGTGATGCATTCTGTTTAACTTCTTTGTGTTAATTTTCTCTTTTAGAGCAAAGGATAAGCACCAATGTTGTGAAGACTGTTGGTCTGTCATCAAGGGACACAGTACGAAAACGGAAGCACTCATCATCTGATGAAGAAGACTCTAGAGCCTCTAATCTTCACAGTGTTGTGAAAGTCAAGGAACGAAAGTATGTTTTAAATGATCTCTAACAATACAATGTGTGCACATGAAACTCAATAATGCATGCAGCAACAATTAACTTTTGCAGTTGAGTTATGTCGGTGATTTAGATAGTATTTGAGGTCAGAGGGAAATATCTGTAACAGTTATTTTGAACATTTCCTTGATATAAAAACAATGTACATGTACAGTTGACCTTGGAATGAGTGGCGCTGAAATAGGAGGTCACCCTGTTTTAATCCTTTACACCCTAACATCAGTATGCATATTCTCCATACAATTCTGCATACATTTCTTAAAGTGCTGACAAGGAGAAGTTGTTAAACAATGATGGGTTTCTTAAGCTGGTGATTATTTTCATTATTCTCATGACCATAATGTTTGATTCAGGGCTGATATTGTAAGGAGAAATTAGATGCTAATCACACTTAGGGGTGAAAGGGTTAAGCAGGAGGTTTTCAGAATCCAAGAATTTTTTTCCTTAAAGAACTGCAATATTCACCTTAAGTAAGCGGTCATCTCTGTGTAGCAGTCATGGTATTACAATTATGGCATAAAGTGGCATTTTTCGTTGTTCTTTTTTAATATTCCCTTTCTGTGGAACCTGTGTTAATCAGTCAACTTCCTTTACCCAATGGGTGACTACTTAATCCTTTAACTCCCAGATCAAATTTGTAATTCTCCTTACTGTCAACTATACAATTCTTGTAATGTTAGTTCTGAGAACTTAGTATTGGATCAACTAATTATACCCAGATTGATATTTTTCTTTATTCTCGTTACTTATCTGGTTGATATTGTATTGATATTGTAAGGAGAAATTCTGTCTTGGTCACTCATGAGAGTTAAGGGATTAATATAGGTTCAACTGAATGATCTTTGAAATGGTTCTCCTTAGCTTTTCTACAAAATGTAAATCAGTCATGAACATGTTAGTGTATGTTTCAACTTGTACATGTTGTGGTTCAATTTTATCCTTGGTTCAAATTTTAGTTTCCTTTGTTTCAAACTCATTATCATACATTACAATACCCAAAAATAAAAGAAAATAAAATTTGAACTAAGGATAAAATTGAACCACAACATACATATTGACACCTGCATTTACATCCCTATCTTCAAATGGTACTACGTTCATAAATGCACATAAACAAGTCTTGAGCTTTATTTTATTCTCTTCTCTGTTTTATATTGCAGACCTACTCTCCCACCCTCTAAGCAAGCTTCTGGAAATCTTCTGAAAAAAGCTGTGGCAGAAGCACACCTTTCTGTTAACAAACCACTTATTTCTTCCAGTTTGAAATATGACCCCACTTCGCCGCCTTCTCCAATTGTATCCCATAGTTATGAAGAGAAACAGTATCAGAAAGAGTTACTTCTACAGCAGCACAGAGAATTACAGAAGCAGTTTTTGCAAATGAAACAGGACAGAGAGGAAACTGAAGAAGCAGCAGGGAGAGGTAGTGATAAAGATACAGAAAGGGAATTTGAAGAGCCTACAGAAAGTACTCAAAGTGATGAAGAAAGTAGAGAAAGTAAACATGTAGAAGTTGAGAAAGAACAAAAAGATTCAGAAGTCACACAAGTACCAGAGGTATGGTGTACATAAAGGTAGTTGATCAAATGAATATGAAAGTGATCTTTGCAGTAATGAACACTATTTGAGCAGTAGTGAAAATAAGGCCTGTACAGGATTTGAATCTATGAACTCTGTGATACCAATGCAGTGCTCTACCAACTGAGCTAACAAGCCAACTGGCAGCTGGTCATTATGTTGGTTCCAAATAAACCAGTGAAGTGACTAGTAAATGATTGTAAGTATGTGAAAGTCATATATGTGAACTTTGGATAAAAAGAAAGAATATGAAAGCGATCTTGGTAGTAATGAACACTTCTTATTTAAGAAGCAGTGAAAGTAGGGCCTGAAAAAAAAATTCCGCGAACCTATTTATTTATCACTACTGCTTGACTAGTGTTTGTTACTGGGAAGATAGCCACCATATTCATTTCTTTATCTGCAGTTCGCACATGTGATTTTCATACTTATTTACTGTCATTTGTAGTTGATCACTTTACTTTCTCTGAACACTTGCGATGTTTTCCTTTCCAATTGATGCAGGTGATGAAGTTGAACATCTTGTTATCATTCTTAAGAAACTTTGTATCCAGGCTTTTGTTTGTCTGCTCTACCATATTTGCTCCACCTGTCTTTTTACTTGCTGAACATGTTTGTGATGCTGGGACTCTGCAAAATACTTAACCAACAGCACTAAATTCTTTTAATAACCAGGGTTTTATAAGTGTTTTGAAGTAGGCATCAGACTCTGCAAAAGTACATGTAGGTGACTGTCAAAAGCTTATTAAGGGCCAAAAGGTAATTATTTTGACCAGAGTAACCAGCAACCTGTTATCACGTCACTGGTGTAACTCTCTTACCAGCTTGTTTTGAAATCCCTAAATGACTGACTCTGGAGAGATGACTCTCTGACATAGAACAGACTCCTTCAACAGATGTCAACAACTACTGATACTACACAAAGCTCTTATTCACAAAATGTACACACACAAAAAACAAAAAAAAACAAACAGACCTAACATTACTGTCTGTTGGACACAGACCAGTCATATCTAACCCCACTTGAATATTACACTACACAATAACATGGTTCAAAGCATTTTCTGTAATACTGCAGTGTTTTTCTCTTTTACCTTATTTGATAAAAAGATATCAATATGAAATAACAAATACATTTTTCCCTCTCTGCAAGGAACCTGTCATCGAGCTCCACGTCTCGGAAACTGAAACACTAGAGTATTCTCCTGAGCCAACTGTGGGTGATACCAGAATTGTAGCCTTTGCTGATAGCCAGGCTGGTGCAGAAGATTCGGACGAAGAGAAGAGGAAAAAGAAGAAAAAGCGAAGGGCTGTTAAATCTAAAAAGTATGTGTTATGTAGGTGAACAGAATTGTAATTAAAAAAGCCTGTCACAGTGACTGTTTTACATGCAGATGGTATATTTTGAGCCAAGGTTGTGGAATGAAGAAAATTGTGTTTATAGCATCAAACCACAAAATCAGAAGATCTGCAGTTCAAATTTTTTCAAGGGTACTCAGTTTCACTTTATTTCTTGCAAACATCTTTACTTACATTTGTATATTGTACATGTGTGTCTTTATAATAATCAGGTTGGTAATTCTCATTGTCTAGAATCTTTGATGGTTAAAACTTTAGGGCCTTTTCTAGGTTATTCAGGGTGGCACTGGCAAGGAGAGCTTGAAGAAACAAATTAAAGCTTTAATGAGGCCAACAACAGCTCTGTACTTGCACTTTGAAACTTTGTTCATTTCCTAGCCATTTTATGCATAACAACAGAGTGAAATTACCAAGTTTTGTATTTTCTGGGGAGTGTATAGAGCAATTATAAGTTGTAAATTATTCGTGTTTGTATTTGGATCTGAATTCTTCATTCCAAAATTATACTTGAAATGAAGTCTAGTTCTACTAGGAAGGGTAAAAACATAGAGTGATTCCCAAATTTTCCCATACAGACAGTGTGAGGTCCTTACTGTAATTAACAGTACTGTAAGAAGAAATTTTACTCTTATATTTTTCCCGATTTTAGGGAGAAACCAGCAAGTCCTAAGTTCATTGTAACACTTGACGGAGTGGACAGTGATATGGAAGACAAATATGATGTACAATTGAAGAAAGAAAAGAAGAAGAGGAAACCGAAGAAGAGAGCTGAGCTGGATGATTTTGAAGAGATCGACACAACAGAGAAGACAGAAGAAATAAAACCACCTCTAGAGGTGGCTTCCCTTGAAAAACCTGTCATCCAGCAGATCACATTTGATCTGGATCCTGTTGATGAGGGTAATTTTGCTATAGTGAGATAATGTAATATAATCTGATATTACTGGTAAAAGATACTCTCTCTCTCTATATATATATATATATAATAGAATACAGAATAGAATATTATGTACTTATTGACTGGGTGGTAGGGTTGGACGGAAAATATTTGGCTTGAGGTCATGACGCACGGACTGAGCGCAGCATTTTACCATATGACCAGAAAGTGTTGAAAATTTCGAAAATTGTTATTTTAACCAAATTAGGATGCGATAGACAGGAGCATGCGGGATAACCACAAAAAAGGATTCCACAATTAAAAATTTTCCTTTGTTTTTCAAGTCAGAACAATTAACTCAGGGCTTTTTCTGGACCGGCTCCTGTCATCTTATCCAACTCTACACGCGTCAGGTTTTACTATGGTTTTCTGTGGAATTGCACGCCCGGGGCCCTACTGGTCATATGATAAATTAATTCATAATCCATGAGTATATTTGCTCGCACACCAATGGTCTAAACTCATCACGTGATCGAATATGCCCCCCCCCCCCAGGAAAAACGGGAGAATATCCGAGGGGATATCCCAAGAGATATTACCCAATTTTCAAACCTTACGTCTGGTAGAATAAAAGCAATTGTTTCAAATGTAATTCAAGATGGATAGGAGTTTAGCAGTTGTGACAGAAGAAGAGATATGTTTGTTTGTTCATAAAGTCATACCAGAGAACACAGAGAAGTATACATTCCATGCAGCAAACCATAAGCTATTCATAAACATTTCTCCCCCCGCGTTTCAAAAATACGTTAAGGATACGAAACAATAGCTTCCATTTAATGTGATAATTTGCTCGCATATGTATATATTTGTCCTAGGACATAATCTGCCCTTCAAAGCTCACAGTTTTCGGGAGCTTTCCCCACGGAAAACGGTTCGCATCACAGAACAAATAGTATCTGCCGACAAATATCCCTGCATATTTTTGTGCCAAATGGGGGCTATTGTTTATGTATAGCATGATAAAGTTTTGCATATAACTATCTGATCAATTCCATTAAAGATTCAGTGGTCAACAGAATCAATACATGGTAGATTAGTCAAAGGAATTAATTGATTGATCAAAGAATCGTCATTGTACATTATCAGTTATGTGCTTCTGGTAAAAACTTCTGCTTTCGGGTGTTAATTTTTTCAGAAGCTGAAATTGGCGAGTCGATGCAAGATCAAAACAAACAAGCAGAAAAGTGCAAATTTTGGCCTGACTGCAAAAATGGAGATGATTGTCCCTTCTACCACCCGACGGTGATGTGCAGGTGATTTCATTTTTTTCCTTCTTCAAGTATTTCAGTGTATTTACACAAAGGTGTCACAAGAGTTAAGCAAGAAATTCCCGAAAACATGCTTGATACTTGATTCAGGGGTGTTACTGGTGTTTTGTAAGGAGAAATTCGGTGCTAGTTACTCTTAGGGGCTAAAGATTCTTGTTTGCAACCTTGACTATTTTTAACTGGGGTTGAAGGAAACGCATATGTACACATGTGAAAAATTAATCACGCGAAAATTCCTTCGTTTCCTCGTTTCGAGGTGCTCGAGACTCGTCACGAAACTCGCATCTTGAACGTCTCGAAACTCATATCTTGAACATCTGGAAACTCGACTCGCGTCTCGATCCTTGAAGTTTTCGAGAATCGAGGATCGAGTTTCGAGGGACTGTCAACTTACTTTCGAGCGGTACTGTATGTATTGGGCATATGGCTTTAATATGAAGAGAATGGAGTTAATGGTGTCGTCATAGTCATCATTTAATTCTGATAGACTGTTTTTTAAGCCAATGAATAACGTACCGTGAACGTTACAAGTTACATGGAGGATATTACTTGGTCGCGTTAAGATACGAAATTTCTCTTCGAGTGTTGAAAAATATTTTTCAACTGGAAAAGAGAAATTTCATATCTCCAAGCGGCCATGTAATATTCTATTTATTATATAAACACAAATGAAATACTAAATCATTTCACTTTAATATCTTACTAAAAGCGCTGCATCGAAAGGCGCTATTTTAATAATGTAATTAACATCAGTGATCTTTTCACTGTGAAGATATCATGTTTTTGGGGCGAAAGCTCACTTGGCATTTCATTGGTGTTCATATGATAAAGAACTGTCTTTCAGGAGAAATTTACTTTTCATGTAGTGAAAGAATTGAATTGCATATTTTCCATACTGTTCTGTACATTTTCCTAAGGTGCTGACTAGGAGAATTTGTTTAACAATTGATGACAATCTTCTTCAGTTGGTAATCATTTCCCCTCTTCTCGTGACTTTAAGGCGTGATTCAGGGGTGATATTATCAGAAATAATATCAATTAGATGCTAAGTACTCATAGTGATCCAAGGATTTGATGTTGGATGCATTTACAAACGCACACACTCACAGTTTCAGGAACATACATCTCTCTTCTCTCTCTTTATGACAACTAGACAATTTCTTACACTTTTTTGGGTCAGCTGTAAAAGGAAATGGGATTAAAACAAATGGGTTTTGTATATATATATATATTTTTTTTTTGTGACAGGTCTTTCCCGAACTGTAGATTTGGAGATAGTTGTAGATTCATTCACCCACCGTGTAAATTTGATGGAAGGTAGGAGCTAATGTAATGCACTTTCCACATTGTGTGTGCTCAAATGTACAACTGAACCTCTCCTCAGAAACCACTATCTGTCAAAGGAAAATGGCTGTGGAAGAGAGGTGGCTTTTATTGGGAAAATGGGTGTGTAACATGACCTCTTTTGAACATATTTTAGAAAAAAAAGCATTACTCACTCATTCATTGAAAACGGACAAATTAGAAAGAGGAAAGTCATCGTTACAAGACAAACGGATTTAGCTGTCTCAGATATCAGTTTGACTATTCGTAAATGGTTTGCTTACAGCATAGAAGACAAAACATTTCCTCACCCACAATGCTAAGGTTTTTAGGGATGTCTGCTTGAGAAAGTTGCGATGAGAATATTGCTGTACTATTGTAAATGTTGTCGAAAGCTTATTTTGGCAGACGGGATGCACTTCAGTGACTGTTGCTGAGTTGGAGGGATACCGGCTTATTTAACAGACCAATTGCAGCATAAATCGATAGATAATAGAGGAAGGCATTTTTTACCAGAATGCATGCTCTGCTCAGAAATTTGTTTTAAAATAGTTTAGATGAATTGGAGTTTGATTTTTTTTTGTGTGTGTGTGTGTGTGTGTGAACATGATGTGACAGTTTCTCAGGGTGTACTTGTGTTTTATGTTGAAATGTACACGTAGGTTTCCTTCTTGAATCATTATACGCGCAAAACATTCAAATGTCTTTGTGATTTGAATCATGCCTTTGGATAGCCTGTGAGAATTGTGACTATGGCTGATAAGTACAGGTAAGTACATCACTTAAAAGGGAACTGAAAATTTTTTATAGTTTTTATGTTTTATAGTTTTAAGCTTCAGCTGTAGAAACAAGTACAATCTACCAAATATTTCTATTTACGTGGTTCTCGTTTTTTCTTTTGTAGGTGTACTAATTCAGTTTGTCCCTACACACACAAGTTAAAAAACAAACAACAGACTTCTCCCGTAGCAGCTGCAATACCAGGAATGGGTTTAGGTATGGTGTCCAGTTACATCAGTACTATTTGCTTCATTAAAAACTTTTGGTGGAAAACTGTAGTAAGACTATTGGCGAAAAGATTATTTGGTTTTATCGACTGAATTGGTAATGTTAATTGGCCGCCGTAAAGAGTTTCTGATAGTGACGTTTTTAGCGTAAGCCCTTCATCAGATCGAAACACGAAGGCACGCTCGAGAGCTGCACTCTCTAATATCGTCAACTTAGTGAAAGGCTTCAAAACAATTGACATATTCACGTATGATTTGTTTCACCACAGATCATTTTCGCGGTGGTCTAACACTGTTGTGTCTCTTAATGTTGTCAGGCTTCATGTTCCCTCCACCAAGTGTCCTCACTCCTCCACCTCCTGTTACTCAACCGGTTCCTTGCAAGTTTTACCCGTCTTGTACCAAAGCTGACTGTACTTTCTATCATCCACAACCAAAGGTATATTTTATGACGCTTACTTGAACATTTAACCTTGCACTCTGATTCCAAAGAAATAATTTCCATCGTAATAAAAGCATATTTGTTGGTTGCTCACTTCTTGAATCCTTTCCCTCTCAAGATCCTAGTGGTAATTCTCCTTACTGTCTCCCGCACAATTCTCAAGATGTTAGTTCTGAGATTCTGGTATTGGATCAACCAGTAATCCCTGAATTGACATTTTGTTTTCATTCTCATCACTTGTCTGCTTGATATTGTAGTGATATTATAATGAGGAATTCTGTCTTGGTCACTCTTGGGAGTCAAACTGTTAATTCTTAAACATTACAAAGTATGTACTACATTCGCACCCGCTACTTAAATGTGAAAAATTGTAAGAGGTCAGAATTAAAATGACAGATTCGGATTCCAACAGATTTAGCTAGTGAAATGTCAGGTACTGAACCATGAACCTACAACTTTATTAACGATGTTTACACGGCTATGGAATCCGTTAAATTTCAAGCTCGGACTATTTCTGTTGGTAATTTAGTGTATTTTCCTTTTAAGGCGGTAAATGTGAAAATAAACCGCCTGTATTACCTCGTATTAATGCCTAAAATCGCTTAGCGAGTGCTCAGTTTTTTCTTAGCGAAAACTATGATCGCAATCTTTGATTTTAATACCAAGGCAGGGGAGAGAAAGAAATTTGTTCCAAGGGGGTGAGCGACAGTAGAAAATAAGAAAAGGGATGGGGGTGGGAGAGAGAGTAGTCGTCTTGCCCCGCCCCCTTTCTCTCCGTCGACTCCAACTCTAAATCATCCAACATGGCCGGTTGAATAAACGATCGCGTGCTTCTTAAAGTTAACTCGTCATAAGAAGACGCCTGCATTAGAGGCTAAAAATCGCATGATATTCTTGAAAATTCAACAGGTAAAAGAAATGCTTTACTAGTCTGAAAATTTCTTTTACTTGGTGGGCTTTAGTAAGGGAGAACACTAAGCACTTTGGCTTGGTTAGAGGTTGTAGAAGTACAAGTAGACGAACTACACGTACATGCTGCATTTTGCTAACATGGCGTTTTCAACATCTATATATATATATACATAGAGAGAGATTTATTGAAGACAGCAGCAGAGTGGAAAAGTGTTAGATGTAAATTTAAAGCTAAATCGTTTATGTGAGTGAAGAATTTCATTTCTCTTAGCCTGTGCATGGACTGGTTTGATTACATGCACTGTGCTATAAAAAATAAATGTAGTAAGTTTAGTTATTAATTGGTTTCTAATGCTTGGGAGGGTATCTGTACAGTGATCACAAATTCGATTTCAATTAGACTTCATTGTTGACTGTTTTGTAGGCTTGTCGTTTTGGTGCCAACTGCACCAGGCCAAACTGTTCATTCACTCATCCTGCCAAACCTTCCTCTTTAAAGTGGGTGGCACCAACTCTACACATAAGGTAGGTTGCATTGTAAATACTTTTTATCATTTTAGTTAACACAGGTTAAAAAAGTTTGTGGGAGTGGGGAATTTCTTCGTGGAGAAATCAGGGAAATTTTTTTAACATGGCATCACTGACTTTCGCCATATCCAGATGGAAGACGCGTTTCTGGTCTCTATTATCGAATTAAATATAACGATACAGTTTATGTTTGTGGGCGTAAGTGACCGACTAAGAATTTCCGAACAAGCACGTTTTGGTACGGCTGAGCTGTCCTCTATGTAAGATGTCAAGCTGTGTTCGTTTTATGTTTTGTAATGTCACAAATTTGCTTTGATTTTTTTTTACCAACGTTACAAGAAAATGGCGCGAACATAGTAATTGGTTCTCGATTTCATTTGGCCGCTTTCATCCTACGATTGTGTGCTTCTCACTTTCCACTGGTTTTTGTCAGCTGGTTACATTTTAGCCCGCCAAATTCTCCGTGTAACTTTTTCGAAGACTAAACAAATTTGTAATCTCTGAAAAATTTTCATGGGCTTATATATCCCAAATTGCGCGAGAAAATAATGTGATTACTAACTACTTAATAATCTAGAGTGAGGTCGTTACGGGAAAATCTCAAACTGAGGCACTGTTCGGTCAATACGACTAGGCCGAGGTTTGAGATTTTCTCGTAACGACCGAACGGTCGAGGTTATTAAGTTGTTTATTGTATGGCTTATAAACTGAACTAACAAAAACCTATGTAAGGGGAAGTCGTTAATTATCATCCAGTGTCGATCTTACAAGCTTTTAAATTGTTGTTAAATGCTTTTTTTTTAATGCTTAATTAATGGTTTTGTCCTTGATTTTAATTAAGTATCTTTTGTATGACCTTAATGTTCTTCTCGCTTGCAGTGAAAGGAGTTTTGCGGTTTCAGAACAGAAAGTAACTTCCATGCCGGTGTTATAGCAGAGAATTAGTTTTAAGTCAACATTGTAGAATTTTTCTGGTGAAATATAATTCTAGTTGTGACTGTGTCATTGCTGTGTTATCTACAATTGGCGTCCTGATGGCAGGAAACAAAGCGTATAAAAGTGGACGACCGCAAAATAATTTCAGAGTCTTTAATTTGTACATGTCCCGTCGAGGACTCTTCGTTTTTCATCTATCATGCTTTTGTTTTTTTAAATCTTTTTTCTGTTGAAGGAGACAAGAATTAAGATGACTGATGTCCTAAGAATTTTTCTTAGATAGATTGCTGCGGAGTCATTTAAGTTCAATGACTGTGTGGAAGGTGAAATAAAAGCTGTTTACTTGGTCAGTTTCCTACCTAAACCTGTGAAATGCGTGACTGGTTTGCCTTGGTTTGGAGGGTGGGGCATTTGAACCGATAGTGTCAAGGCTCTCTAGCGTAAAACACGTATTTTGATACAGCTTTCGTGAGCAAATGGCTTAGAAAGACAATTTTCATATCGTAGACTGATACTTAGAAGTGAAAAGCCAGACAGCAGCACCAAAAACTGATCGTGACTTTGCTAAATTCTACAACATTCGTTGATCTCAAATTTGCTTCAGAATATGAAAGCGACCTACGTAGTAATGAACACTACTTAAGCAGCAGTGAAATAAGGCCTGGAAAAAATTCAGGCCTTTACGGATTTGAATTCATGACCTCTGCGATAACAAGCCAACTGGGAGCTGATCACTATATTAGTTCCAAATAAACCCGTGAAGTGATGAATAAATGACTGTGAATATTATTGGAGAAATGATCTATGTGAACTGCGGATAAAGACGTGAATGTGAAAGCGATCCTCGCGGTAATAAACACTACTCGAGCAGTAGTGAGAATAACGCCTGAAAAAAATTTAAGGCCGGTACCGGTGCAATGCTCTACCAACTGAGTTAACAAGCCGATTTGTAAGGTGATGAAGAAATGAATGTGAACATATGAAAATCACACATTCTTAGCTCAGTTGGAAGAGCACTGCATCCGTATCGCAGAGGTCATGAGTTCAAATCCCAAGATCGCTTTCATATTCACGTTTCTGTCCGCAGTTCAAATATATGATTTTGATATATTTACAGTCATTACTTCAGCCTGTAGGTTTGCATACTAGGAGGGTCTCAAATAGAGGTTAACCATTCGCCATAAAACGGTAAGAAAATGTAGCTGTTAGGAGAAAAAATCGGCAATTTTCAAACCTAGAATCGCTTTAACGACTTAAAAAAGCTTTGTGAATGAAAGTGATCGTCGCAGTAATGTACATTACTCGAGCAGTAATGAAAATAAGGCCTGGAAAAAAAAAAAGAAGAAAATTCATGCCTGTACGGGACTTGAACCCATGACCTCTGCGATACCATTGCAGCGCTCCACAAACTGAGCTAACAAGCCAACTGGGAGCTGATTATTATGTTGGTTCCAAGTAAACCCGTGAAGTGACGAATAAACGGCGAAGAATATATGAAAGTCGTATATCTGAACTGCGGATAAAGACGTGAATGAAAGTGATCCTCGCAGTAATGTCGCTACTTGAGCAGTAGTGAAAATAAAGCGCTGCACCGGTATCGCAGTTCATTAGCGTTTAAAAAAGCTTTAAAAAGCCATCACCCCATTGAGATCCTTAAGTGATAGTCTTGGTTTGTTGGAAAAGGGACACGAGTAAATACTGATATTGTTATAGCAAATCATAATGACAGGTATTTGATTTAAACAAGGAGCTTGTGCCAATGAATCCTAGCACAGGTTCCGTGCAATTTGAGCAAGAGTATTCAATGCAATCTCAAAAATATTATTACATGTTACACTAAGGTTACTTACACAGCAAAATTATATAATCACACAATTCCAAACAAAGGAAGTCAGGTTATTGACTCACCTGCTTCAACTTTTGAGGACTTGAGGTACAGAGAAATAGATACGGTAAGCAGTTACAATTTATACAAAGTTAAAAGTTTGAAAGCTCAAAGATACACATTCTATGTTACATGAAACTTCGTTATGAATGTCAAGTGGCAATCTCTCTAAGAGCGGTCCAAGGCATTTCGCATCGGAAAAAAATTTAGTTCGCCCGTCTCTGCTGTCATTGCTAACATGGTAATGGAAGACGTGGAACAACGGGCCTTAGCCTCTTGACCGGTTAAACCCTTTTTCTGGAAATGATATGTCGATGATGTTATTTCTGCGGTATCCGGAAATGAAGCGGAGCGCATCTTGTCGCATTTGAATTCAGTAGAGCCGTCGATCCAATTCACCCTTGAGCGTGAAAAGGATAGACATTTGCCCTTTCTTGATTTAAAAGTGTCCAGAGGGGTCCAGGGTAATTTAGAGACTAGTGTCTACCGTAAACCTACCCACACCGACCAATACCTCGCCTTCGATTCTCACCACCCTATTTGCCATAAAAAGTCTGTAGCCAAAACTTTACTTAGGAAGGCTGACTGTCTACCATCTTCACTCGATTCGAAGGCTGAGGAGAGGAAATATGTTTCCAATGTCCTAAAGGCAAATGGCTATACAAAAACTTTTCTCCGTAACTGCCAAAAACCAGTTACAAATAGTAACGCTCTTGATAAAAAGGAACCAGCGACTAGTTTTGCTGTTATTCGTTACATACAGGGTGTTACGGAAGAGAGAGAATTTTGAATAGCCACAACGTTAAAGTTGCTCAAAAACCTTTCCAGACTTTGGGGCATATTCTCGCCAAACCTAAGGATCCTGTCACGAAAGAACAACGAACCGACGCCATTTATTCTATTCCTTGCAATGACGGTGACAACGAATACATCGCACAGACCAAACGTCAGTTTGGTACACGGTTAAAAGAGCACCAAAAAGCGGTTTCCTTTGCAAAAAGGAAAATTCAGCTTTATCGGAGCATTCATGCCTAACTAACCATACAATTGGGTGGGATAATTCTAAAATTATCACCACCAATCGGCGTTACCACCAGCGCCTTTGTTTGGAGGCTTGGCATATTAACTCCGCCCACGCTCCTTTAAATCGTGACAATGGCGGTTTGCTTCCTGACGCCTATTTACACCTCGTCAGAAAAAAGGCCGCTAATTAGTGATCATAAAAAAGGACCTCTTGTTGCAGCGTTTAGATCACCCCTGATGAAGGCACTAGACAGGAGTGTCGAAACGTTGGGTCTATGAATTGTAACTTCTTCGGTTACATTCATTAAATCTGCAAACCAGAGTAGCATCAAACTATGTCTGAAAAATATCGTGTCGCAGCTGGATAGTTGAAGAATACAAAACAAACTCTAGAACTTCGCTTAAAGTCCACAACTTTAAACTGGCTGAAAATAAAGGTGAAAGTTGAAATCTAAATACTTTAAAATAAATTTGCTAATGGTGACTTGGAGTTACTTCCGAAAATTTAACAAGAAAAAAAAAGGCATCGCGTGATTCGCCTAATGAGATATTTTTAACTCGGCCATACACTAGGCTTACAGTGGTAATTAAAAATAGCACCTGTCGATTCTAAAAACAATCCTCCGTTGACTCTAAAGTCTTACTTCAGGTAAGGAACGTTGAGGTGAAGAGTGAAGTAATTATAAGGTAAAGTGTCTCTGTTTCATTTCAATGTAAGATCATCTGGAACGTTTCCTGTTTTATTTCTTTAAGTTTTGCCTCATGATGAAAAAGCCCCGTCATAGCGTATAGTGCCTCGTATTCTAACAATTTTTCCTTGTAGATAATAATAGAGCACTCACGAGGTTGAAAATCCCCTGAGATTAAACGCTATTGTCGTTTAGTCCATTCAGTTCGTTCGTTTGAATTGTTGGACAAAAATTGATAAGTACAGACCTTTGAAAAAGGGGGCCTGGAATTCAATTCAAACTAAATCAAAAAGAGATGAAGAAAAATTAGCCATATCTAGTTTGTTTATGAGCAGGTATCCCGAAATTTCGCAACCATTTCCTCTCTAACGCCGTCACAATGACATTGCATGAGTGCATTAGTGTTTGATTCTTCTGATGCAACTTTCGAGGTTGTCTCATGATCTAACTTTCACGAAGTTAGGCAATGATTTGGCACTTTCTGCAAAGTTATACCAACAAAATAGGTACAAATCTTTAGAATATAAGGGGAGCCTGATCAAACCAGAAAAGAAGAAAGAAACATTTTCTAAATTCGGAAAAGCTTCACTTTTCTATAGCGAGAGAGGAACCTGCTGGGAGTGTCGTGCTTATCGTATCGTCATTATATCTGACACATAATCAAGGCTAAGTTGTTCTCTGAAAGAAAACCTTTGTAATTATTGAAAAATTCTCATGGAGATTTTTATATATCCTCTAAAATAGAAGAAACACAACGAAATTAACACCCTCAAAAGATCACCATTTCACATATTTTCAAATAAGAGCAGATTTTGCTTCTATTCAAAAATTACGTTTAGCGAAATTTCTAACCAAGAGCCGGAGATAACAGACCTTTGTGACGTTTTCGTCTCCCAAAATCGAAATTAGCGACCAATCTATACTAGTTCTTATGGGGGTTGAATATACTCGATTGTCAAACAAGTGCCTCGAATATGTCTTCAGTTTATCTACTATAATTTAGGAGTAAATGCCTTCTTGTCGACAATGTAGCCATCGATAAAAATAGCTTTGTATATCACATGCCTTCTGAATTTTGTTACGACTACTAGGTCCTCTCCAAATGATTCTCTCATCTTAGCGCCCTGAAATGAACGAGTACCAGGGCAGTTTCTGTTACCTACTGATGAACAGGTGAAGGTATCATGATTGGTGATTTTTACTCAAAACACTTAAGGGGAATCACGTTTTCTCCGCTGTTCGAACTGCAAGGAGCGAGATAAAAATTTCGCAAATACAATGGATGCAAAAGTATTTCTTACTCTAGATTTAAACAGGAAAAACCTTATTTTGAATATCATAAAACAATTATTGCGTTTTGACATGCTCCTGTCACCATCAACGAATTTTACAGCCAGCTATTACATGATGTGTATTGCTGTGTAAATATCATTCGAAAGACGAGAATAACACGAAAACTTCTCTAGAACAACTATACTAGAAATAGGCTTTTTCCGCGATAAATGTTGCTTGCATGTCCCGGAAAAAAAAATTCTTAGTGTCGTGAGATCATAGTTAGTAGATGGTGAGATGAAGTCACTCATTAGCGAATGATCGAGGTCTTTGGCTCTGAACAACCTTGAGCTGTATTTTAAGCAAGGAGAAGGGTCAGGAAATCTGGACGAAAGATGGCATTACACTTAGACTGCGAAAGGGACGAAACGCACGCACTCACGCGCGCGTTTAGCTCGTTTACGCTCGTCCTATGACGGCGTTGACTCAA